TCCAAAAATACACACACTTTAGCCACCTTTTCCCATAAACAGAAGGCAAAAGAGGCTCTAATCGAAAGTATTGGCACTTCAAATTGCACCACTAAACTTGGTGGGGGGTGGGTGGGGGGGTGTTTAAAAACAAGAATGAACTAGAGAAAGGGTGATGTTCTTGAAGATCTACCTGGCGTTTGAGTTCTTCTGTAGGGTGGAATCTCAAGCGATGTATCCAGTAAGTTGTTCCTTCTGTTGGCTCTTGGTTCAAAGGTTGGGTAAACATTATGGTTGTTTCCTATTTCGCCACCAATTTGAAGGTAAGATCGGTGTGGAGGAGAAAGATAACTGATTCTATGTGCATAACGTCTTAGAGGACTTGAACATGGTGACACGGGCAATGATGTCACAGCTTTTGCATTCTCTCTTCTGTCGATCGAGAGAAAAACACACACACACACACACACACACGGGAAGAAAACACACGTTCAGAAAGTACACACATTATGGATCTGTAAGAGTATGAAAAAAAAGGTTATTTTGCTGCCTATAATTATTTGTATTACCCTGAACTGGTCATGGCTCTAGAGTTGGTTACCACGGGCTTGACTGAATAATCTCTTCCATCAAGAGAAGCAGTGTTTCTTCCGTTGGGTGGAAATTCCAGAGCCGGCTGTGGCAATAAAATGCAAATGAGACTACAATCAAAAGGATAAATATATTAAGGTTGTGTTTCGAGCCCAAAGAATGGTAGGGGGAAATCATGCCAAGGAAAATGATCCTTCATGCCTAATTTCAGAATGGAAAATTTTAAATAAAAGCAATTTGATGGCAAGTTTTTTAATATTTTACGGATATGTTGATTTCATGAAGAATATAAATATAACAAATATCTAAAATTGATACGCAGAATTTGAAAAGTTCTCTCTATTTCACTTTTTAGTTTCTTAACCTATCAAATTTCAGGTTCCAAACGCGCACCAAAGGTGTATAGTAAAGCAACACGGTGTTAAAGATCAACTAGAGATCATAATGTCAAGTAGTTCCAGCTCATACAACAGTTACTCTATTACATCATGAGACATGAGACATGATTCAGTTATATCCCTTGAGAGATCTGAAACTGTCAAATGAATCTACTATCTTTCCAACATTTTCAATCACGCAGACCCCCCCCCCCCAAATCAAAGTAAGCCAAGAGTGAATCACCATTATGGAACTTTTAATCCCACTTGCCCTGTAGGCTGTGTGATTGCACAAATGCATGTGTGGGCAATGATAAGAAGCACCCTTACACTATGTTTGGTTCAAGGAATTTGGAAGGAAAAGAAAAGAAAATGATTTTCTCTCAATTTTCACACTTTTCCTTTCTTTTCCTATCTAACCAAACAAGAAAACCTATTTTCCACTTTATTTTCTTTTCTTTTCCTTTCAAATTCTATGAACCAAACATAGTGTTACTGGAAGTACGTGAAAAACATTGTTACCGGTGTGCTCACTAAAGAAAATCAATAGTCAAGATGAATACCGGTGTGCAATTTCCATCAAAACTCCTCGGATGTACTTGATTGATTATATTGACATTGTGGGCAACTTTTGTTGGAATTTGGTCTTTAACAAAAGGGTGCTCAAGAAGTTGAGATGCTGTAGGCCGTGCAGAAGGATCTCGCTGCAAGCATAGCCTAACAAAACTTTTTGCTTCAGTTGACAGGTGATCAGGAATGTCAGGCATGTCTTTGCTATTTCCAATCTTAAATATTGCAGCAACCTGTTCATAGAAGATGGTCAAAGAAATGCCGCAATGTATGTGTTTGGTGATCAGAATATATTCTGCAACATTTTTACCCCTTCATATTGACTCCAAGGTGGCTTTGATGTGGCCATTTCAAGAACTGTACAGCCCAGGCTCCATATATCTACTGCAAGGCTGTAGCCATTTGTATTCATCACCAACTGAAAGTATGTAATTCAATGAGTCTGAAACATTAAATGCTTGTTTGGTTGGGATAATTTGAATGGGAAGGAGATATTTCTAATGATTCTGCAGTTTTACTGATTTTACCCTTATGTATTGGCGTTTATAAGAAGACACTCACTTTAGCCACTTTGCTTCCAACCTACTAAAACTAATAAAAATAAATTTCACCCCTCCCGTACATAATTTCTTACCCAAACAATGGGTAAAGGAACTCTGCTTACAAAACTGAAGATCAAGGAACAAGAAAATTGGGAGCAGCGAAAGATACAAGAGTGAAAAAAGAGAGAAATACCTCAGGCGCCATCCAATACGGGCTTCCCTTGAAAGATAGCATTGAAGAATATGATGTAATCTGGTTGGAACCCAAGAAATTGTGAGAGTGATAGCAAGAAAATATATGCCAGTTTGAAGAAAGAGCTTTTTGAAGAACTTTTTTACAAAGTCAACTAATCTGTGTTAGATAGACAACTTTGAAATTTATCAGTTTGACTTTTCAAAAAATCTAATCAGCACAGATTTTTCAAATGCAACGGTAAATATCAGCCCTGCCCCATAACATTATCTTTATTAGTTAAAGAATCCCTCAACAGCCAACTGCATTTTATTTATTCGCTTGCACCCATACCATTCTTCACAGATTCCTTTTGTTGTCCATGTGTACATTGACTGTGTTCTTTTAAATAGAATCTACTAACAACTCACTAATGCAACAATCAACTAAAAACTGTCCTCCATGTGGCTATTATTGTGTTACACTCTTTCAAAAAAAATTAATAGTCAAATAACATATGAAGCAAAAATTATTCAACCCATCTATTTTCAATCATCATTTTCTCCACTTATTTCTTATGGCATGTGTGCCTCTTGTGAATACGAATAGTTCGTCTTGTGAGCTACTCCGTAAATAGTCTCAAATAGTTAAAATTAG